AAAAGGTTTCTCTAATGGTGTTAGAATAGATATAATATAAACTCAACATGAGCTTTAAATGTTTATATCTAAGAAAGATTGTTATTAACATGTTGTATCTTTTTATCTTACTAATTCTTAATGCCTTGCTTATTAAATGTTTAATTTAGATTTGTGTTGTATAATATTTGGTACATCAAATGCTTGATCTTTCATAGTTTTCGGCCGAAATCGTTATTATGATAGAAACTTGATTTGTTGTTAACATAAATTAGCAACATGAATGCTTGATGATATTTATAAGTATGGTATTACTTATATAAGATAATTAATATGATCATGTTAGTAATTTATAATGAGCTAATAACGAGAAATCATCCGATTAGAACCTCCTTTGTGTGTGGTTTCTAGTTGAGTAATAAAAAGAGTTTATATTATATTTATTTGAAATACCATTAGTGAATCCTATAACCTTGACATATGTTTTGTTATTGTTTAATCCTTACATCAATATCACATCCCAAAACTTTCTTCAACTCCTTTTCTGTTATTATTCTCTTTAAATCTTTTTCTTTATTTGTAATTTATATAATTCACCTCCCTGTGGTTCGACCCCGGTCTTGCCGGGTTATTTTACTTTGACACTCCTGCACTTGGGATAAGACATCAACTCTTTGATCGTGTCAAGTTTTTGGCGTCGTTGCCGGGGAGGTAAGTTATTGTATAAATTAAATATTTTATTTTATTTTATTTTCACTTTTATTTGTTTTTCTAATTGTTGTTTCTTTTTCTTTTTCTTTTTTTTCTTTTCTTTTCTTTTGTATTTGCATGAGAGTTTGGACACGTACATTAAGTGGTAGACTTTCTAGAAAATCATCATTTTCTTTAGAAAACATGGCCGAAGAAGATAACCAATCAATTCATAATGAGAATAATGAGAATAATCGTGTTAGAACACTTAGAGATCATATGAATCCAACAAGAACAAGTGCACCATCATGTATTGTTTTTCCTCCTGATGCATCTCATTTTAATTTTAAGCCAGGTATTATTCAACTTTTACCCACTTTTCATGGCTTAGAATTAGAAAATTCATACTTGCACTTAAGAGAATTTGAAGAAGTTTGTAACACTTATAATGACTTAAATTGTAGCATGAACACCATCAGATTAAAGCTTTTTCCTTTTTCGTTAAAAGATAAAGCTAAAACATGGCTACAAAATATTAGGTCAGGATCCATTCATGCTTGGGATGAAATGCAACAACAGTTTTTAAAGAAAATTTTCCCTTCTCATAGAACAAACTCTTTCAAAAGACAAATCACCACTTTTACTCAAAAACCAGGAGAAACATTTTATAAATGTTGGGATAGATATAAAGACTTGCTTAATACCTGTCCTCATCATGGTTTTGAAACATGGAGATTGGTTTCACAATTTTATGAAGGGTTAACACCTAAAGATAGACAAATGGTAGAATTGATGTGCAATGGAACTTTTGAAAATAAAGACCCTGATGAAGCAATGGAGTACCTAGAGTTGCTAGCTGAAAATGCTCAAAATTGGGACACCACAGGTACTTGTGAGGCACCAGGTAAAACTCAACCTCATACATCTAATGGAGGCATGTATAGCCTTAGGGAAGATCATGACCTCCAAGCCAAATTTGCATCTTTAGCTAGAAAAGTTGAGGCACTAGAATTAAAAAAGAGTGGTCAATTAAAATCTGTTCAAGAAATTATGTGTCAAATTTGTGAAACCAATGAACACTCAACCAATGATTGTCCCACGTTGCCTTCTTTTAAGGAATGTCTCCATGAACAAGCCAATGCTTTAAATAGTTTCCAAAGACCAAGTCATAACCCGTACTCACAAACGTACAACCCTGGTTGGAGAAATCACCCAAATTTCAATTGGAAGAGTGGTAACAATAATGCACAAACTTCACAGCCACCATTTCAAACACAACATAATTTTCAAAATTCTCATGGATATGCACCTCCTTATATTCCCCCTCCTAGAATAAATCTTGAGGAAACATTACATGCATTCATTGAAAAGCAAGAGACAATCAACACTCAAAATGCTCAAACCATGGCTGATTTGAAAGATACTCTTGCAAAGTTCACATCTGCTCTTAGTTTTCAGGAGAAAGGTAAGTTTCCATCTCAACCCCAGCAAAATCCCAAAGGGCAATACAATTCAAGTACAAGCAGTTTTGGAAGCCAACATCTGGATCAAGTCAAATCAGTCACTACTCTCCGCAGTGGTAAGGTTATTAAAAAACCTATTCTTGAACCTTGTGAGAAAGAAGATGAGTTAGTCTCCAAGGATAAGGAAATGGTTGAACCTGATCATTGCAAGGAAGAGATTGATTCCCCACCAGCACTTCCATTTCCTCATGCCATGACCAAACAAGGGAAAGTCAATCACAATTCTGAAATCTTTGAAACTTTCAAACAGGTAAGGATTAATATACCTTTGCTAGATGCTATTAAACGGGTACCATCTTATGCTAAATTTTTGAAAGATCTATGCACTGTAAAGAGAAAATTGAATGTGAAAAAGAAAGCCTTCTTAGCCGAACAAGTAAGTGCCATTCTTCAGAACAATAATGCTTTGAAATATAAAGACCCTGGTTGTCCTACAATTTCTTGCTTTATTGGAGAACATAAAATTGACAGAGCTTTACTTGATCTTGGAGCTAGTGTGAATTTACTTCCATATTCAGTTTTTCAAAGTCTAAATCTCGGTGAGTTAAAACCTACTTCTGTTACTCTTTTACTTGCTGATAGATCTATAAAAATGCCTAGAGGAATAGTTGAAGATGTGTTAGTACAAGTTGATAAATTCATCTTTCCTATGGATTTTATTGTCTTGGATACACAACCTGTTGAAGCATGCAATTCAATTCCTGTTATTTTAGGACGTCCATTTCTTGCAACTTCTAATGCATTGATTAACTGTAGGAATGGAGTGATGAAGTTATCTTTTGGAAACATGACATTAAAAATGAATGTTTTTAACATTTGCAAGCAACCTGGAGATGATAATGATTTACAGGAAGTAGATTTTATTGAAAAAATAATTTATGATCAATTTGAAAATTCTTCCAATGAAACTGAGTTTAATGAATTTGAAGATTTGCAAATGGTTTGTTTTCAGGAAGAATCAAAGGCAAATATTTGGAGACCAAAAATTGAGGAATTGCCACCACGATCAATTGGGTCCATACCTTCAAGTGTTCAACCACCAAAACCCGATTTGAAGCCATTGCCATGTAATCTCAAATACTCATTTTTGGGAGAAAATGAAACTTTTCCGGTAATAATTTCTTCCAAACTTAATGTTCATCAAGAAGGTAAGTTATTACAAACTCTAAAAATGCACAAAAATACATTAGGATGGACCATAGCTGACATAAAAGGAATTAGTCCTTTGATTTGCACACACAAGATTTATTTGGAGGAAAATGCTAAACCCTCTAGATAAATGCAACGAAGGCTTAATCCTAATATGAAAGAAGTAGTGAGGAATGAAGTCATTAAACTTCTAGATAATGGAATCATTTATCCTATTTCTGATAGCAAATGGGTAAGTCCTACCCAAGTTGTACCTAAAAAGTCTAGAGTTACTGTGATAACAAATGAGAAAAATGAGTTAATTCCAACGAGGACTATTACTGGTTGGCTCATGTGCATTGACTATAGGAAGCTCAATTCAATGACTAGAAAAGATCACTTTCCTTTACCTTTCATGGATCAAATTCTAGAAAGAGTTGCAGGTCATGAATTTTATTGTTTTCTAGATGGTTATTCAGGTTACAACCAAATTGAAATTGCATTTGAAGATCAAGAGAAAACTACTTTCACATGTCCATTTGGTACATTTGCATACCGAAGGATGCCTTTTGGATTATGTAATGCACCAGCCACGTTTCAAAGATGAATGCTTAGCATATTCAGTGATATGGTTGAACGTTTTCTTGAGATATTTATGGATGATTTTTCTGTTTTTGGTGATTCATTTGATAATTGTTTAACTAATTTGGAAAAGGTTTTGAACAGGTGTGAAGAGAAGAATCTTGTGTTGAATTGGGAAAAATGTCATTTTATGGTAACAAACGGCATTGTACTTGGTCACATTGGAAGAGATCTTTCATATTTCCTCTTGGGCTCAACTGCACATTCACCATAAACCCATAGGTTTGTTAAATGTTAATGGTTATTATGATAAATTGTTGGCTTTTCTTGATCATGCTGTGGAACAGGAATTTCTAACATCTTCTACACGACAAATCATAATCTCTGCTGCTACTGCTGAATAATTGATTGACCAACTACAATCTTTCATTCCTATGATTGATCGTTCCATGAGTCGCATAAATTGGTCATCTAAGGAAAGCCATACAAAGCTTAGATTGGATTTGAGCCTTCATTTGTGAATTTTTGTGTCTTTTGGTTTTATTATTGTGTTTTGTTGTTGCTTATATTTGTTTTAGTGTGTTTCAGGTTTGTCAGTGTTCGCTATTTCAGGTGATATCTTCTATACTCTATCTTTCTACCTTTAAACATTGAGGACAATGTCTCGTTTTAGTTGGGGGGAGGGTAATAGCTAAAAAAAAACTGTGTTTTCTATTTCATAAAGTAGTAGTAGTAATAATAAGAATAATAAAGAAGGAGAAGGAGAAGAAGAAGATGATGAGAACTTCAAAATGGAATATTAATGTAAAGATTAAACAATGATAATAACAAATGTCAAGGTTAGAGGTTCCACTAATGATATATCAAACAAGTATAGTATAAACTCTTATTACTGAATTGAAAACCACACACAAAGGAGGTTCCAATCAGATTATAGATTGTTAACATGATTACATTAGTCATCTTATTCAATTAATGCTAATACTTGTAAATCTCATCAAGCATTCATGATTATAACTTATGTTAACAACAAATCAAGTTCCTTTCATAGCTCAGGTGTCGGTTATACCATACATTATGGGCTATGAAAGTGCCAAGCATTTGTTGTACCAAGTGTTATACAACATAAATCAAGATTAATCATTTAACAAGCAAAGTATTAAAGAGTGAACAAGATAACAAATATAAAACATGTTAGTATCAAACATTAAAGTCCATATTAAGTTTACAATATACTTATTCTTACACCATTAGTGTAACCTTTTCACCTTGACATAATAAACTTAGCTAGACATAATGAAAGAAAGCAAAATAGATAAACAAAATAAGAACATAAAAGTTAACTAAGTAAAGGAAAGGAAATGAAAGGCATAAACTTAATTTTAATGAAAGCAAAGCATAAAAAATACAAAGAGAGAAAGGAAGAGCATGATCTTGATCTGGAAACCAAGATGCCTAAATGCATGGCAAATGCCTCCTTGTATAGGCCAAAATTGGGAACTATTGATTCGATGACTAATTGATAAGTGGGTGGCCAACTTTTGACTTGGTGACAATCCTTATCTTCTCTTGTCTACCCAAAACGTCATTGATAACGTCAAAACAGGAGCCAGTTGCAAACATGAAAGTTGTAGGCAATTGTCTCAGCTTTCTTGTGTAAACAATTCAGCTCATTTGGACTTCTAGAACTCCAGATATGGCCAAAATACCAAACAGTGCTTGGGCTGGAAGACAGATTCGGGCTTCTTTGTTGTTGCTACAATTTGGACTTGATAATCGACTTTTTAGATCTTGGGCTCCATATGAAAGTTGTAGGCCTATGTCTTACCTTTCCATCCATATAAATTGGACCTAAATCTGAGATCTGTAGCTCCAGATATGACCCAATTACCGAACAATGTTCCGGTTTGAATTGCACCGACATCTCTTCTCTAAGTTTGACCATCTCTTTATCCTTGCAATTTAAGTTCTTCAAGTCATCAATCAATCCTTTCATTTATGTGATAGGCCTGCATTAAAAATAGACATTTACTATAAATTATAGGTATCTTATATTATTAGATACATTATTATAAAACATATTTTAGTTAAGGAGTTATTGATACTTTAAGTGCAAAATGATGATATAAAACCATGATAAAAATGCACTTTTAAGTACTAATCACACCCCCCAACCAGCTTATTACTAGTCCCTAGTAATTAAAGCGTTACAACAATTTGCAAATTTCACAAAGCAAGGTATTCATCATTTAACTTCCATTAATCTATCCAGATAAACAAACTCTCATTAAATTTATATATCTGCTTAATACCTCTTAACAAGATATTAATAAACCTTTCTTTTGTGCTCAATGTATCAACACATAATTATGGGGCTTTTCTTGGAAGAAAACAAAATTTTTGTTCTAATGTTTAAGGTTAACTTCCTTGGGCTGGGATTATTATTTTTGTCTTTTTTTTTCTTTTTTTTTTATTTTTTTTTTAAAATATAAATACATATAATTTAAAAACATCATGCATCTTTAATCCATGTAACGAGCTTTCAGCTAATGAGAATATTGTTTGCTTGAGGTTTTAATTAAAGGCTCAATTCTGCCGCACAAACAACACTCTTTGTCAAACATAAGCAAACCACCTCAGAATCAATTGAAACTTCATATTCAGTCTATTGGGGGTATGATCGCATCATATGTCAAATTTGGGCTTATTCTAATATTTTTTGCTTGAGGTTTTAATTCGAGGTCAATTCTACCGTAGAAACACTACTCTTTGTAAACCATAAGCAAAATACCTTAGAATAAATTGAAACTTCATATTCTGCGTATTGGGGATGAGATCGCTCCATATATTAAATTTGGGCTTATTTTGATAACTGATTCTAGAGGTTTTAATTAGGGGTTCAATTCTGCCGCAAACTGATCATACAAGGGGTTTGGGTACTTAGACATAAATGAATGACCTATGAATTGATTGTTGTTGTTTTTTTAGTATTATAATACTAAATATTGAATTTTAGGTCATTTCAAGATTGTTTGGTATGGGTTTCAATTTTGTTACGTAAAAATTGCGTAACAGGTTAAATTTGCGTCAAGTTTCAAAACGTGATCCTTACTGTTTAGTTTTGTCCAAATCTTTTTGTTTCTATTATATTTGGGTTATCTAGGAGTCAAGTAAGTGTTTTTGCTAATATTCACTTCTGTTTTATTTTGTGTCTTCGTTTCGTCCACAATTCGTATGAATTTGCATTGCTACTCGCAAAATCATAATTATAGTTTTGTTTTGCTTTGTTTTCTATTTATTTATTGGTTGTTAAGTCTGAAAATTATAATTAGAGTGTGCTGCGAAGGTTACTAACTTTGATTTGTTGATTTTAGTTCTTAAAGAACCAAAAGAAAGCAAGTTGTGAGGTAAAAGGCATTGTGAGCTTATTAGAGAGAAAAGCCTTGATATTATTTATTTTTTTGTGATACACGAGAGGTGTGAGGATATATTTTATGTTACTAACCAAATTTTACAGATTCAAAGAATGTTTGAAAATAATGAATCAGCTACACAAAACGCTGACGTAGCTTTTCAATTGCAAGCCATAGGCCAGCAACTTGAGCTATTGTCTAGAATGAGGTGAATTCAATAATGCAACAAAATAGTAGGACTGATCGCCAAGGAAATACAGTCCATATGACCGTACAGAATGTCAGATCTGATTTTGAAGAGTTTGTTGACGAAAATATAGATGCAGGTGAAGATGACTATGATTTCATGGCATGGGCACTTATGAAGATATGGATGGGGACTTGGACACCATTAAATTGAAAATTCCTAACTTTCAAGGTAAAAATGATCCCAAGGCTTATTTGGAGTGGGAGAAAAAGGTTGATTGGATTTTTGATTGCCATAGCTATTCTGAACAAAAGGAGGTGAAATTGGTGATAATTGAGTTTACAAAGTATGCATTGATTTGGTGGGATCAAATTATAATCAGTAGGAGGAGGAATTGGGAGCGACCCATTCAGACTTGGAGGGAGATGAAAGTCTTGATGAGGAGACGATTTGTGTCAAACTACTATTATAGAGACTTATATCTGAAGCTCCAAGGTCTGAATCAAGATTATAAGACAGTAGATGAAGATCACAAAGAGATGGAAATAGCAATGATTCGGGCCAATGTTATTGAGGATAGAGAAGCCATCATGGCTAGGTTTCTTAATGGGTTGAATCGAGACATTGCCAATATGGTTGAGCTACAACACTATGTGGAACTAGAGGACATGGTTCACATGGCTATGAAGGTGGAGAGACAACTTCGAAAGGGACATGCTCGGCCAGCTTTTAATTCGGGCTTTTCATCATCTTGGAAGTTGAATCTAAAGAGAGAGGGTACTGTCCGGCCAAGATCCTTTATTCCTTCTAAAACTGAACTACCAAAGGCTAAAGTTGATGTTCCTACTGATGCCAAAGGTAAATCTAAAACTCAGCCTAAATGTACCCATGATGTTAAATGTTTCAGGTGTCAAAGACATGGACATTATGCTTCAAAGTGTCCAAATAAGAGAATCATGATGATTCGAGATAATGGTGATATAGAATTTGAAAGTGACACATCTGATTGTGAAGGCATGCCACCATTGGAGGATAGTGATGGGGATGAGTTAACATTACCGGTTGGAGAGTCCTTGGTTATAAGACGAACACTTCAGGTTCAGGTAAAGGAAGATGAAATTAATCAACAAAAGGAGAACATCTTTCATACACGTTGTTACGTACAAAGCAAAGTGTGTGGTTTAATTATAGATAGTGGAAGCTGTGTTAATGTTTGTAGTACCACCCTTGTTAGTAAACTGAATTTGTGTACTATTAAGCATGCTAAACCATATAGATTGCAATGGCTGAATGACAGTTGTGAAGTGAAAGTGACTAAACAAGTTGTGGTTCCATTTTCGATTGGGAAATATGTTGATGAAGTTCTGTGCGACGTGGTACCAATTGATTAGTACTTAAAAGTGCATTTTTATCATGGTTTTATATCATCATTTTGCACTTGAAGTATCAATAACTCCTTAACTAAAATATGTTTTATAATAATATATCTAATAATATAAGATACCTATAATTTATGGTAAATGTTTATTTTTAATGCAGGCCTATCACATAAATGAAACGATTGATTGATGACTTGAAGAACTTAAATTGCAAGGATAAAGAGATGGCCAAACTTAGAAAAGAGATGTCGGTGCAATCCAAACCGGAATACTGTTCGGTAATTGGGTCATATCTAGAGCTATATATCTCAGATTTAGGTCCAATTTATATGGATTGAAAGGTAAGACATAGGCCTACAACTTTCATATGGAGCCCAAGATCAAAAAAGGCCATTTGCAAGTCCAAATTGTAGCAACAACAAAGAAGTCTGAATCTGTCTTCCAGCCCGAGCACTGTTCGGTATTTTGGCCATATCTGGAGTTCTAGAAGTCCAAATGAGCTGAATGTTTTATACAAGAAAGCTGAGACAATTGCCTACAACTTTCATGTTTGCAACTGGCTCCAATTTTGACGTTACCAATGACGTTTTGGGCAGACAAGAGAAGATAAGGATTGTCACCAAGTCAAAAGTTGGCCACCCACTTATCAATTAGTCATCAAATCAATAGTTCCCAATTTTGGCCTATAAAAGGAGGCATTTGCCATGCATTTAGGCATCTTGGTTTCTAGATCAAGATCATGCTCTTGCTTTCTCTCTTTGTATTTGTTGTAATGTTTATGCTTTGCTTTCATTACTATTAAGTTTATGCCTTTCATTTCCTTTCCTTTACTTAGTTAACTTTTATGTTCTTATTTTGTTTATATATTTTGCTTTTCATTATGTCTAGCTAAGTTAGTTATGTCAAGGTGAAAAGGTTACACTAATGGTGTAAGAATAAGTATAATGTAAACTTAATATGGACTTTGATGTTTGATACTAACATGTTTTATATTTGTTATCTTGTTCACTCTTTAATACTTTGCTTGTTAAATGACTAATCTTGATTTATGTTGTATAACACTTGGTACAACAAATGCTTGGCACTTTCATAGCCCATAATGTATGGTATAACCGACACCTGAGCTATGAAAGAAACTTGATTTGTTGTTAACATAAGTTATAATCATGAATGCTTGACGAGATTTACAAGTATTAGCATTAATTGAATAAGATGACTAATGTAATCATGTTAACAATATATAATCTGATTGGAACCTCCTTTGTGTGTGGTTTCCAATTCAATAATAAGAGTTTATACTATACTTGTTTGATATACCATTAGTGTAACCTCTAACCTTGACATTTGTTATTATTATTGTTTAATCCTTACATTAATTTTCCATCTCCAAGTTCTCATCATCTTCTTCTTCTTCTCTTTCTTTATTATTATTATTATTACTACTATTATTACTACTATTACTACTACTACTCCTACTACTACTACTATTATTATTATTATTATTATTAT